AACTGAGGTATTCAGGGCGACAGGTTTCATCTCGACCCTCAGTGAGAGAAAAAATTAACTACAACAAAGAAATAAAAAACAGAAGAAAAAATCTTCAATGAAGTAATTGAAACGACAATTTTTGACAGGAAACCTGTCCGTGTTAATTCAGAAATATCATTCAGAAGAATATCTTTTTTTGTAAAAAGGGGATTTCTACTAAAGATATTTTATAATTCTTCACCACAGTGAGGCTCTGCAATGAGGTTAGATGCAAAAATAGAAACGTTTTACAAGTGCATCAAGACTAAGGTCAGATTATTGATGCAAAGACGTTTTTCTTTTGCTTTGTACTCTTGGGAAAAACCTTGCAAAATATATTATAGAACCCAACCCTTAACAGCCAGAGCTAGCTAAGCTCTGAAAGCCCTGTTTTCAACACATACAATTCATCTTTTTATTTTCTCCGTTCTTTTTCAAACAACAGCAGATCAACCGACGCATGAGCAGCTGGTACGCTGTAGAAACAGCAGGTTGAAAGGTTATGTGGTTATAGCATTGTTGTCATTGTATTAGCCACCTGTACCAGCAGACTTGTAGCTGAGATACGCGCAGCAAGTGCCAGGGACTTTCCACAACCGAGTGTGTGCTCGCACGCACGCAGGCGAGCGTGTGTGTGTATCAAGTTCTTTTTGACAGTCAAGTGCACATTTCATTTGGATGTGTGCATGTGTGTTTGGGTGTGTGTAGGACACTGTGTGTGTGTGAATTGCATTAAGCGTTGGAAGACATGCAGAGGAGCTTTTGCTGCATCGTAGTAGAAATTATGAGCATGTATAAAGAAGGCTTTTATGCATAGAAATAAAATTAATAAAATTAATAAATGAATCTTTGTTTGTAAAAAGGAAAATAAAATCATTTTGATCCCTAAAATTGAAAGTTCTTTGCATGCAAACCATATACACTTTTGATGCAATGCAACATAATGCCAGCATCATTTAGTATGTTAACTTCAAGGAAAAAGGAACTTCATGCCTCACAGCGATGCAGCACTCACACCAGCATCATGGCCGTACTCTACCCCACTTTACCCCCAATTACAATGTGGTAATAGAACAGTCTTATCACTAAAAAGCAAAACCCTGTGACAGTGTTTGCCCTAAAGTCTGTGTCCCTGTGTAAAAGGGCTCTTAGTGTTTCTTTTAAAGCTGCAGCCCACGGAGGAAGCACAGGCTAGGGGGGCGAGACAGCAGACCAGGCGGTTCTGGAAATCCCCTTCCCTCAGCAGGCCTGCCTCATCTGAGACACACAGGGCCCTGCGGAGGCCCACATCAAAGGGGCTGCTGCTGTTCTCATCATCCTCCTTCCTCCTGTCTCTCTATATGTCTCAACGTCGTTCTTGGTCTTTACCCCCTCACATCTGTCTCTGTGTCCTTCATATAGCCTAGATTCGTCTTTTAACAGGAGTAGATTGTTTAAAAACGGTGTAACATACCTTTAACTTGTTTGGGTATTCTTGTGTGGAAAGAGAGCCAGGTTAAACATTGCTCTGCAGGGTGTTCTGCATTTGCATGCACTTTTTTAACAGTGTTTTGCAGGTGACTAACCTGCATGTGCCCCTGATTACTAAACATGCCTCACTCATCAAGAGTTCATGGATCAGCACATATGGCGGTCAGATACTGTAGGTGTAAGAGATTTTTGGACATGAAGTTTGACTCATGGACCACCTTTGACTAAATCAGAAGTGAAAATGCTTGCTAAAACTGTTCTCCCCACCCCCACCACTCACAGCCCGCAAAAATGTCAGGTATGTTTGAAGCAGCAGACAGCTTGAGGCCAGCGCGTGGACACTCAGGCGGGGGATCTGACATGAGAAGTTGAAGTCTGGGATGTACCCTTTTGCACAGATGTGGACGCACAAGCTCAAGTGAGGGTGACTGTTTGTGCACATGTTCATGGCTGCAGCAGTAAACAGTCAGTCACAAGGAATGGCATTGTGAATTCTCAGCTCTGGATTTTCCCTCTTAATCACTGATTGCCCGGTGACTGCTGTGTGTCTCATGTTGCCCAGAAGGATGCTGCAAAAAAACCAAAAACTTGTCTCTGCTGCACCAATGCACCGTTCGTTATATATATACATAACGTATTTGTATTGTTTCTCATAACCTCTTTCTGAATGTAAATAGACTGAAGATCAACATGCCTACATTATATAATGTTTTCCTTTTGTTGTTATTTTTTCCAACATGGTTTGTTTACTTCCACACGATCAACTGTACGCTGGTGGGAATGATCAAACTTTCCTAAAATTTTTCTCAAATGTCAATTTTATGTGTTTATTTACATACATTGTTGCCTGACCTTGAATGAAGTTACTGGCCGACAGTAACCCCAGTTAGACTAGTCTGTTAAATCCAGTACTGCCCTCTAGTGGACTGACAAGGAAAAGCAGCACATTGCCAGTAAAATATTAACTGTGGAAAAGGGGGAAAAAGAACCCAAAACAGTTATAAGCCTGGGCAGACTTCAGTACTTTATCTTCACCCAAATACCCAGAATCAGTACTCACTTGTGTATTTCTACCATTTATAAAGTCAACTTGTTGCGAATAACTAATCTTGCTAATTGTTTTTTTTTTTTAAAGTGAAGATAGCCATCTCCTTCTTTAAAGTTTATTTTTGGTCGTTTATGCCTTTATTGAAAGGAGAGTGGGTAGAGTGGGAAACAGGGATGATGGAGTTGGGAATGACATGCTTGAAAGGAGCTGCAGGCCGGAGTCGAACACTTTAAGGAGAATAGCCTCAGTACATGGAGTCTGGTTGGCCATCTGGCTCCCCACAAAGCCAAGTTTCAGCTGATAAACACAAAATTGCTGCTCAGATTTCAGTTCATGATTTGGTTTCAATTTTGTGCATGGTAGAGAGAGCAGGCAGTACAGGGATGTTGTTCAGGCTGGGAGAGAGGGAACAAATAACTTAGTAAGAAAATACACAAGTGGTATAAGATCCCAGCTGGCTGTTAATAGACCATTTAAAGAACTTTTATTTTCATGTCCTTTCTTAGTCAGTAAGATCAATCACATTGGACTTATGAACATCACAGTACAAGACACAAAAAGGCTGCTGCCTCTGTTATAACTTTTGTTTATTTTACGTCTTTACTCTATACTGTGGATTGTTTTTGTAAATTATGTTTATATGTCGCGCTTTACAGCTTTGACACAACGAGCTGATACCAGCTGTCATTTGGCGAGAGGCGGGGTTACACCCTAGACTGTTCGCCTGTCAATCACAGGGCTGACATATAGAGACAGACAACCAGTCACACTCACATTCAAAGTCACCATTAACCTAAAGAGCATGGGGAGGAATCCACACAGAGAGGCCCTGTCAGACGGGGATTCAAACCAGGAACCTCCTTGCTGTGTGGCAACAGCACTAACCACTGCACCACCGTGCAGCCCCCAATGTATGTAATGTATCCAATCAGAGAAAACTACGTTCTTCTTGTCAGCCAGTCTGGATGTTGTTTGAGGCTAACTTGTGTTTCATGGCTGTTTGTGACTGTGGCTATACTTCATATGAGCTGTCCCATAGCACCACCATAATGACATGGTGCAAGTTACAGGAGCCTCCACATGGAGTCATACCCACCACCAGCAGGCTTTGTGAGTTTGTATAGTCGCAAAGTGTCCCAAAATATACTTTCCCAGACTGTTCAAATGATCAGTGAGAGAGTGGAGGCGTTCTTAATCATACTGAAAAGGAAACTTAACATTCCTGCCACGCTTTCTGAGAATGAATCACTTCACTTCAGGGTGGAGTTAAAGGTGATGAATTGCAAAACTATCACCATTTTTGTCTTGAGCAACAATGTTCAACTCTGAATTTAGAAAAAATAGTTCGACCAACACATTTTAAGTCAAAATTAAACTAAGAGAAAACGAGATATGGCTGACAAACCCTCGAAAGAGCAACTTAAATTAAGATTCTTTTGAGAAACAACCTTGTCCTTGTTCTCTTTACAACTTTGTCAACCTCTTAAACCATAAAAGTACACAAGCAAATTGCATGAACGCACTGCTTCAGACTCTAAATTCTTGTTTCGAAACTTGTTTTTAACAGATTACAGATACAAAAACATGTTATAACATTAGCTCAAGAGCTAGTAGCATGGAGGTTTTGTTACTTTCTGAATCTGCTGTTGATTCAAATGTTTTTAGAGAAAATCATTTTTGGAAACCTTGATTCTGTCCTAATTGGAACACTTTTATTTGGGAAACATCGAAAACTAAGGGTGTGATCTGTACTGGAGTTTGTATAGTGCTTTTATAGTCTACTGACACATCCACACGCCGCCGACAAAGCAGCAGTATCTTGGGGGTTAAGTGTCTTTCCAAGGACATATCGGACATGTGGCTGCAGGATCTGGGGCTCAAACCCCTGACCTTCCAGTTGAGAGTCTGCAGACTCTACCACTGAGCCACAGCCGTAATCTAAAAAGCAGACTTGTGAACGTGTACAAAATGACTCGATAAGATGGATTTTTGTTTTTGTTTCATGTCAAAAAGTTCAGCCATGGTAGGGAGTGAAATCGTAAGATAAATAAATGCCCCATTGAAGGGTTTAAAAAAAAACATGTTGATGAGTCAAGCATGACTTTCACCATCACAGCAGCAGCCAATGCATGTCATGATGTTTGGATTCAGACTCTGGCATGTCTGACTCTTGTGTGTGTGAGTATCAGCGAGGGCGTGACTGCTGCAGAGGTCGTCCTGGGCCACAGAAACCAACTCTGACCTGACAAAGGACACATTGTACAGTGACAGGCCTGAGTCTCTGACCTCAAAGCAGCAACACAGGCTCTTTGTTAAACCAGAGATGAAGACAATCCATTGCATCACTCACGCTGCAGCAGCACCAGGAGTGAGGAAAATAACCAAGATCTAATCTATTTGATCCTGTCCAACCAAACTGAATTCAAATGAATGTTTTAACAAAGGAACCAAGAGACAATGATAAAAGTCAGACATAACTATAATTTATTAACAGTAATTACAGTGTTACTTTACAAAGGAATAGAAAACTAAAATTAAGTGCTTTGTCAGTCCAGTAAAATAAATACATACATATCAAAAATGGTACTCAAAAACAGTTAGTTTACATTCCTTTATACAGACTTAGTGTAACAATGCTCCCTGCCAGTATTAAAGGTGTCATCCACTATGCTTTAGTGCATAGTAGATCAGAGGAGAAATATACAACTTAACCCGTTTTAATACTCTTTTAACAACACATCCGACAGTCTCGTCGTCCACAGATGATGTCATCATGCCTTAAGGTTAAATCTGCTCAGTGCTTCCACACAGACTGAGTGCAATTCAAGCATAACACACATTAACACGAAACACACATAAGACACAAAATGAAGAGGAGAGGGAGTGTTAATAATGGTCAGCTCTTTGGTGCAGCAAGGTGTACCAGGGTTGCACCCGTTTGGCAGATCTGGACAGAACGGCTGTTGTTCTTGCATGAGATGTTTGGAAAAGCTGATTGGACTCGATGCATCTTAAAAGCCTTCTCTGTCCAGATGTGTGTCTACTGTATGTTGGCTGTTATTGATGATTCGGGCACAGTATCTGGTACGTCAGAGGCACAGGGGAGAAACATTTAACCTTCACTGCACATTGATGTTCAAGTTTGGACAGCTGCTGCAGCCACTGATGATGTAAAATCTGCAAGAATGTTTCATAACTAGGGCAGGAAATAAGGATTACTTTCATTATCAAGTGTTCGTATGAATGATTTTGTGATTAATCAAACGCCAGAGAGTAGTGAAAAATGCTCCGCACGCCTTCCCAGAGCTCAGCGATGCATGAAATTGCTTTTTTTTCTTTTTTGGTCGAATCGACAGTTAAAAACCCAAGAATTGAAATAACAAAACGACCAAAAGAAAAGCAATTCCTTACATTGAACTTTCTCATTTAAAAATGAAACCTTCAAACCATACTTATGAATCTAATTAAACATCAAAGCATATGGCAATTGCTTTCTGTTGGTCCATAATTCAATGTTTCATTGTAGCACTAGTCATAACACTCTACATTTGAAAGCTGCAGTCCCGAACACAATACTATGCACAAGTGCAAAATGTTGGCCCTGTGAAGCCTCAGTGATGTCATCAGGTCGTGTTTTCATTGCACTTCTCCTGGAGGTGTGTCTCTTACCTGTGACTTACCAGGGTCACATAATAAAACATCTTCTGACCCAGATTGTATGTTTTCACTCTTTTGAAGATGCAGCTGTGCTTCTCCATATTCAGCAGTTACGTCATCAGTTTCTACTCTGTTGCAAAAGGACTCGTAGCAGTCCAGAGGAGTAATTCCGGCCCCTAACAGTCCTCGCCCAAACAACCACATTAGAGCAGCTCTGCCCGTCTACAGCTGAGCTACACACAAACCAAACGGTGCTCGGTGAAACAAGACAGTGTACCTGCTTAGACCAACAAACAGACAATTAAGCACAAAACGTCTATATCTCTAGGGGTTGTTAGGTTGCCGTGACGATAGCAGGGACCGTGATGGTGCTTGAATGTGAATGATTTTCATTCTCTATCTGATAGGTCACACCAGGGTGGGGGTCAGCCGCCTCAGGCCGGTCGGTCCCTGTGATCTGTTTGTCTTCATCCTCCTGATGCTGCAGCTGGTCGAAGGATTGCTCCGCTTCTTCCGACAGGCGGTTTTCTTCTTTCTCTTCCTCCCTCTTGACACCAGAAGGAAACACATCAGCTGGTAAACAACAGTAACACGGATTCATGACGATAGAAACCAGAGTGCAACAAACCTCTTTCTTCATCCTGTAGTATTCATCAATAGCGTACTGATATTTGGCTGATGTAATCCCAAAGAGGGAGGCCATCCTCTCCCCCAGGTAGTCGCAGGCTGGAAAAGAAAAAGAGCAAATCAATCTGCAAATGACACAACACACGTGTACAATGAATATATTTCTAGCTTTCATTCAGAATGAAGGCAAACGTTCAGTGAATTTAAAGAAAAACAACAAACTAAGAACTATTAAATCATTGTCTGACATGACATTTTCTTCTTAAAATCTCACAATGTTGAGTTTCAGATCAGCAGCGTCTGAGTTCACTGATCCATAATAAGAAGAGTCTTGATAAATAATACATTTTCATACACTTGAGGAGTGAATCATGAAGCAACTTTCCATATGTGTCTTTTAGCTAAATAGCTTCCTTTGAGCTTCATAAAGGTGATCCTGGAAAACTTGTACTGAAGCATTTAGCTTCATATCAACTACATGTGTGGAAATCTACTGTATGGTGTAGAGGCACTCATTATATGCTTTGTATTTCAAATTTGTGTTTCCAAGGAAGAAGAAAAAATGAATATATTAGCTGGCTATGAGCGCTTCCTCTGACAGTCCAAAGACATGCTCGTTCGATTCTTGGTGTGAATGTTTATTTGTCGCTACATGTCAGCCCTGTGACTGACAAACCAGCCCAAGGTGTACCCGCCTAACAGCCAGGTTCAGCTATAGCCTGCCCCACGACCCTGAAGGGGGTAAAGAGGTATAGATAATTATCCCCCAATGCTAACAGACTTTTAACATTAATTGTCTGGTTGTTCAGCAGAGGGTGCACTTCAAGTTCAGTGTCTGCTTGCCCTCTTCCATGTCCCGATGACCTGATCTGTAAACAGGGCACCGAAGTACAAACTAAGTTAACGTGCCATGCTGATTGAAAAAATAAAAGAGCATCTGATAAGTATTTAGGGTTTCATGCTGTAGACGGATAAACAGTGAATAAAGGTAGGCAGGCAAAATACATCTGATGAGTAAAAAGGCCTCTGTGGATTTGTATCAGTCTTTTGTTCACCTGTATGAAGGAAGAATACATTTCACGACCAGCTGACTGATCTCGATTTTGAGTGGTTTAAAGCTTTTGATCTGATTTTCTGTATTAAACGCCTGCAGCTGACATGAAACCAGTACAAATCAAAACATGTCAGTAACTGTTTCTATACCACAGCAACCAAAAAAGTCCGACACACCCTATATACTGTGTGCTTTTATTTTCCAAACATTGCAGGCTTACTCCTGAACACTCAGATACAGATACTTTTGGTAAAGTTTTGCTACCAATGTTTGTGTGCAGCTGAGACAGTGCAGTCTGCCTTTTGCTTGTCGCAACTTTTGGTAAAAAATACGACAGATGATCTGAATTTTTTTTTTTTAATCAGCTTTGATACTTCTTGTACTACGGATCATTCAAACACTGGAGATCGTATCATTTGTGACAACCTACTTGCAGTATAGGTTACCATAGTGATCTACCCTGGTTATGAAACCCGCTCTGAGGCATCAGAAGGCTTAAGTCAGGAACAAACCTGAGATGGTTGATGTGGCCGCTCTCCACATGTGAAACCAGAAGTATGGACCCCAGGTCAACTTTGACTGCAACACAAACAGTAAAGAATGCTTTTTTATATTTGTAAAGGGATCAGACAGATGTCTCCTGTTTCTCTGATTTGAATAAACAAAACCCTTCCTCCTTCATTGCCTCTTGTCCTCAATTGGCTCCTTGTACCCACACACACTCATATTCCCCGTCCCTCCACCCTGTCCTCACCCTCACCGCATCGACCGGAGAGGACAGCAGGTCTTTCCTTTCCGGCTCCTTGTCCTCTCCCTCCTCCTCATCAGTGCTGTACTCTTCCATGGTCTCCCCGCTGGAGAAATGAATGATCCTGCGAGGAACCTTCTCCCTCTGCTTCTCCTCCTCCTCCTCTCTCTTGTTTAGCTCTCCCAGCTCCACTCTCTCAAAGTCTTTACACGGGTTAGGGCTCTAAGTGTTTGAGGACATAACAGTGTGTTATTATGGGTCTACTGTATTTCTGAAGGGAGATAGATTAGCTCCTTCAGCCTCAATGCAGAATGAAAATATTTCATTTTCCAGTATTATTTCAGGACCAACCCCAACGACATGGCACAAGTGACAAGTAGCTACGTGCATCATTAGCATCATTTTGAGTAAACAAAACAGAAAACAAATATGACGTCAACGTAAAAAGAGAGAGCTATTTACCGACCTGCTCCACATCCATGGTCTGTCCTATAGACACATTCACGTTAGTGAGATACAGTGATATATCGGCCATTGTCGTCGTCTTCTTTGTATCTGTGGATGCTGCTGCGCCCACAACGACGTCTCTCTCCTCCGCACAGCGACACCCGGAAGTGCCGTGCATCCTTACGTAGCGCGACGTCCAATGAGGTACCGGATTAAAATGAAAATGTGCGACTCTGATTGCAATGCTTACGAGATAAAACATCACATTATTTATTAAGCACCTTGTTTCATAGGAACTATTTATTTTCATGTATTTTATTTTACCAAAGTATTTAAAAAAATATATTTTACTCAATCAATCAATTAATTCTCAATTACTGAGTTATTTTTTTTTCATTTTATTTAAGCTTTATTTAACCAGTAAAAAGTCTCATTGAGATTAAAAATCTCTTTTACAAGAGTTAGCTCACTTAATGTAGGTTTATAGCTTTTGATACTGATGAAACAATAATGTTCACACTTGATCATGATCATTTTCTGAAGATAAAGTTTGTAAAGTAAAGTTTGAGTACAATATTTTTTTAAATATTCAAATCATGATTCTGTAATACTGCCAAAAAATATGTTTTATTGTGTAGCTTACTAGGTCTATACTTTTACTTCTGTACGTATGCAATATTGTAATTAAAGCCTTTTATATTTATCTGAAATCTATCTGCTCTAATGAGTATGGCTGGCAAATTAACAGTTTCAATTTCAATTACTATTTTTGCTTCCCATGAAATGAAAATAAGATCATTGAGATTAAACGATTACTGTGTTCATTTTGATCATGCGTTTTGTTTTATGTGGTAAAAAGTGGGTTTGTTTGTTATATTTTGGCCAAAAGAGTACATCACTACTGCTGGAAATGAACAGTTTATTTTCAAAAATGTATTATTATTAGGCTATATTATATTTTGTATAGCCTATATTTAAAATGTTTCACATATGTATTTTCCACTTATTTCTTGTTTTTCAAAGTGTTCAGAAGGTTAAAGTGATCATAATAATGATCATGATTTTTGCCATAATCGAGCAGCCCTACTGATGATGACCTATTATATAATGTTACATCCATTCAAAGTGTATTTTCAGTGCAGCAGACATTTTCCCTCTGTGCATGTAAAGTTAAGTACAAGAGAAATAGGAAACATCCCATTACCGTCTACATACACACACGTACTTGCTCATACACTTATACACAAAAAAATAGTAAGCCCTACTCTACTTGTCACAAGTTTTACTTTGCTTCTACACACATGACTTCTCAATCTAATGTGCAAAACCTGAAAGACAATCCTGAGTTGTTAAATCCTGCTCTGCCCTCTGCTGGTGGAGGACTGCCATTCATCCAAGTCCTAAAATACACACTTTGCATTTGATAAACCATTTTAATTTTCGTTGACAGTGAGGCAATTCTCCTTGCTGCAAGCTAATCCTGCAGTCAGTGGTAAAACAGTTTGATTCTTTAATTCTGATGTAATCAGTACGGGTCACCAAAGCAAAGATATAAGCTGTACTTTTCTGTGTTTCTATTTTTGCCCAATTCTGATTATTTATTTTATTGGTGAAATAAACATGACAATGTAAAAGTGACAAAAAGAAAGTGAGGGGAAGACATGAAGACAATAGACAGACAATGTAAAAACATACAAATAATAATGGTTACAGTAATATATGGATGATGTAGGACAGGTCTGAGATTTAGAGATATAATATTGGTAGATGAGCAAGGGAGGGGTGAGAACAGAAGTATAAAGGCAATAAGGACAATTAAATAAAAAGAAACAACACATTTTTGTAAAAAAATGTAAAAAAATGGTATTTGGTTAAAGGAAGTGATGATGGAACAGTTTTCATAAAGAGCAAGAGAATAACATTAGTTGTAGAGAGTAAGAGAAGTGACAAAAAAAATAGCAGGCAAAATGTTTTCATTATAATATTAATATTAACAACTCTGATTCTATTGATTTTCTGTTTGTAGAAATGTGCAATTATCATAAACCAGGGCAGAGAAATGAAGCAGTGCATGCACCACTCTCAGATGTAAGCCGGTGTCTAAGTTATGAGGTGCTATAGTCACAAAAACTATGTAAGGATCTTTAGGGAGACCCAGACTAATTAAGGTGTTGATAAAATAGAAATTGAAGACAGCTTACCTTGAGCCACAGTGGAGCTACTGTAACAGTTCACCAAGCCTTGTTTCCACCATAAAGACACTGACAACAGGTGCTAAGTATTTGGCCTTGTCTGTTTGGGTAGTAATGCTGTTATATGTTTTCTTTATGTGTATCAACCGTGCAAAGCTGCAAAACTGTGAGAACACATTTCCCCCTGGGGGGACAAAAAGTATTGTACTGTATTGTAATGTTGGTGTTGCTTTATGAAAACATCATATTATAGATTTGTAATTCTCCTAACTGTTTTACCTTCATCATCTCCTTGGCCTCCACAAAGAAATCCACCAGGTCTCTTTATGTCTCGTGTTCACAGCTGATAAAACCCACAACTGCAGAGTTTTACTTAACTACAGAACCAGTTAATGAAAACATAGAGATGCATTTACAAAAGTGTATCCGTTCTCAAACAGCTGGAGAAAAGAGTCATACATATAAAGAGCACAGTTTTGCTCATTCATCACTCTGAACATAACAAGGTAATGACAACCCCAAACATACACTGTAAAAACAAAAAAGTCATGGTAACATAGCATTCTAAGTCAGTTTTAGTTCAAGTCTATGAAAATGTTGTGTTAACTCAATATTATACATTTATGTCACCTCAACTAATTGAAAGTTTTCCAACTTTGAAAAGTGATTCATATTAACTTAAAAATGGCGAGCTCTATTTTTGATTGAGAGGAGTATTTCTCTTACCTCGTTGCAGCAAGGGGGTTTTGGGGATGTGGATGGAGATGGAGATGTACCTGTACTGGGAAGTGAGTCTGAATGTGCTCTTTTGTAATCTGGAGAGAGGCTGGATTTCCTGATTTTCTTGGTGAGTGAAGTTGCCGTGATCATGATGCCGACAGTGGTTGAAAAAGTTGTCGAGTTCGTCAAAACAATTCTCCAGGGGGTCCAGGTCTGTCAAAATTGTATTTCCATTTTTAGAAAAAGAAAAAGGAAATGGAGTTTGTAGAGAGAATACAAAAAAAAAATGCTTAAAAGTCCTTTGTTCTTTGCTGTCGTCTAGCAGCTGGACGCCGCCATCATCTTGCACTCGTGAGAGTTGCGTTCAAAGTGGCATTGGACTTCCTCCTCTGAAAAAATAAACTTATCGACCTCGACACCGGAATCGGGAGAAACCAGTGGAGGATTGAGGTACTTCTCAGTATGCAAAGAGGAGGCAGGGCAGCCATTGATCCCAGTCTGTAGCAGTATCATTTACAAACTTCCAGAGCATCTTTTTCAGGGTCTGGTTAAAGCACTATATTAGCCCATCCATTTGAAGATAATATTGTGTGGTCCTGAGGCTCCTGATACCCAGTAACTGGTATACCTGTTTCAACAGAGTAGACCTAAAGTTAGTTCCCTGATCAGTTAATATTTCACACGGGAAGCCCACCCTTGAAAAAAATTGTACCAAACAGAGAGCAGCTGCTTTTTGCCTTTATGGATTTTAGTGTAAAGACTTATGGATACTTGGTAGCATAGCAATTATATCCAGCATATAATGTTTTCCTGCTTTGCTTCTCTCTACAGGGCCAACAATGTCCATCTCAAGGCGCTCAAATGGGGTGCCAATAATGGGTAGTGGTTATAATGGTTTAACAGATGTTACTTGGCACTTTCTGCATACCACTTATATAACCTGGAACTTGAGACCATAGTGGCTCAGTGCTGGTTGATGGTGTCACCACTGTCTTTTGGAATTTCTCCTGCCTACTCTGTCTGCAGGTTTTCCAAGACTTCCCAGGTGTGGTCTCCAACTCCTCATTGAAAAAGGGAAGGGCACTGAAAATTGCTGAGGGCTCATGGGATTGCTTGGCCTGCATTCTGGTTACCACTGCATTACACTTTGTTCTGGCTCCAACAAATCAAAAAGAACTGGTAGGTCTCTTTCTAGAACAGCATCAAAAGGCAGATTATCAGGAACCCCAATGTTCAAAAGGTAAGTTTGACCTTCTACCGTACATGTCAGCTGTTGGATAAGGCTTCTCGTCTCCATGAACACAACAGCTAGGGATGGTGTCATTGTTGCTGACAATGTTGGGTGGTACCAACTTCCTGTGTACCAGTGTCTAATCACTCACTCAAGCAAGGCCTTAAGAATGGTTCCATTAACTTCAGTGTTTTGCATTTTAATAGAACAGTCATTTTTAAGCTAATTTTCACTTACTTCTTGGATGCTTTTACCTTTTGGCTGGATCCATTTCCCAAAGAGCTCCTTGAGCCTCACATACAACTATTTAGGGCTCTCATCAGGGTTGACATCCAGGGAGCGGAATCTTTGCCTGTAAGTCTCGTTGTTAATGTCATTTTTAGCAAGAATGGCATACTTTACCCTTTCATAATTAAGACAGTCATCAATGTCCATATGCACATAAGCGCCTCTAGCCTTGCCAGTAAGGAGTAGTATTAAGTGGAAAACCCAATCAGCTTTTTGCCACCGGCATGCTACAACAATACGTTCAAGTGGCCCATAAAAGAGGTCAACTTCATATAACTTTAAATCAACAAGATGAAAACTAAGGTACGAACTCAAAAAACAGACCTAACACAATGAGATAACAGGGGAACTTATATTATAATAATAAAATATAATAAATCACACTAAGTGTGCAAACTGTTTGTATTGTTGACTGCTAAAAAAAACATGTGCTGGTGAAAAACTAATGAGGTGAGTGATATTACCCCTGTGTGGCTATGGCCAGCACAAGGACATCAAATGATCAAATTAAGGTTTCCATTTCTTCGCAGACAACCAGAAACTGTCCGTCCAGGCAAACATCAATGGAGTCCACATCAGTTTCTGAAATGCAAAGGATGTGACTCATCAGTCATCATTAACAGAATCCTATAGAATCAGTTAAACTAATTATTTTCAATAAAAATATTTGTTCAATAGGTATACAGAGGAGGAGAGATTGCGATATTTGATTAAATTGTCTGCTTTGTATGTTTATTTGCTCTGTCC